TGCTGTTACAACCAAGGGGGCTGACTAAGCCAGCAGTTTGAGACAGAAAGCAGTAGTTTAACACCAAGGGTTAATAACTTGTAATATAGTGATTACTTAGTAGAATTCTTTTTAGCAAATTTCAGAAGATAGTGGGCTTGATTCTGTTGAATCTGAGTTTTCTGCATGTTGTGAACAAGAGGGGAATCCTACATATTTTTGGAATTTATTGCACAAAGAAGATTGTCTTCTGAATTTCCACAGATATTATCCCCACTAACATCCATGACAATAAAACAGCAAAAAGATTTTCAGGAAGTCATCAGGGTAAAAGAAAAGAAGAAAAAAAAAACTTCAATTCAGCTGTGAGGGAGAAACTTCTACTTTCATTCAAAGTTATTCAATGTTAAAATTGGTTTGGAACTTTTCTACAAAAAAAATTTCACTAAGGATTAATTTCCATTTTCTTTTCTCCTTATTGTTTGGCAGTCAAGGTTGCAGCTAGATCACGCTATCCCAAAGACCCATTTGAGTTCAAGAACGCAACTCCCAGTTCTGGGCTTGTGACTGAGCCAGGTGAAGGAGGACTGGGACCCATCCCAATTTTTAATAACTGCCCTGCACCCCTCAATGTTCTACTTTAACATGCTGATCTCAGTCGAAGGAGAGAGATGTAATACTGTGGATTTCAGCATGCATTTAGCTTGTCGGGCAGCAAAATAGCAAAAGGAAAACTCATAAAAAGCAATAAATAATAATTAAAACGATCCCACTCCGAAACTAGCAGCTTGCGCAAGACTTCAGTCGGAAGCCCTGTTAGCTAGATGCCTTTGTGTTCAAACCACTTTGCATGACTCTTACTCTGAGTGATTCCAGTGTGAATATGACATTACTAATGACCTGCTAAGTGTGTACAGATGTGGGTTTCTCCAGATGTGGTGATTAATAACGTAATGGAGATAGCCGGTTGACTCATGTTTATGGGTTATTTGCCTTTTATTACATTTCCGAGTTTATTTGCTTTGAACTGTTTTTTTTTTTTTAACTCCAGCCAACAAATTCACCTTTAAGTCTCAAAGGGCATCATCCCCTTAAATCTCACTGAGGAAATAGGGAAGAGGGAATTTGTCCCAGCCTGGAGCTGAGTTTTGGGTTCGTTGTATGCAGGCATTGCACTATTAGGAAAAGCAGATAGTTGGAATAATTGCTCATTTCACTCCAAGGACTTGTAAAGAGGCATTGGTAAACCTTGTCACAGTGTCTGCAATCTGCCTGAACTGATAAAGAAAGCGTTCTTAAAAACAATCTAGTAAAATGTATGATCATTTTGAAGTAAGTCCAGAGTTCTGGCCAGTGTTTCTGGAAGACGTTGCCTTGCTTTTGCTTGAAAACAGAATGCTGACGAAAAGTCGAATAAAATATTGTTACAGATGTTCAACTCTGCATTTAGGCTGTTGGAATTACCACCACATCTTAAATCAATTCCCAGAACATTGTCTGGAGGTTATGTCATTGAAATAACGAATCCTCTTTAGTCAAGTATAAGCAAACATGTTAAAACATCATTGTAACTTTAAATTAAACTATAGTGCAAACCAGGGGATCTGAAGCCTCATTAGACTTGCCTGACATTTTTCTAGCACTGAGTCTTCCCAAACTGTAAAACTGTTAGATTCAGTGCCTATTAGACAAGGGAGCGCTGGGAAGTTACAACAGCACATTAAGTGTTATACTTAGGGATGTGCAAAAACAAGCCCTTGAATTTTATGAGTACTTGGAGACTGGATAGAGTTCAGCTCCTATAAAAATTCCACGTTAGATTCCTGAACTTGTTTGTGCTTTAAAGAAGTCAGGTTTCTTTAAAGGATCATATCTTCATGTGGCTTTCACAGCATGAAGGAAAGTGAAAATACTCAAGATAGAGGTATATTGTAATTAGCCAAAAAGTTGGTTAAATATGATCCTGTAAATGTGCACTGTCATGAGCTAGTGGCCCTTTACTTCACCACATTTGTCTTTCATGAAAGTAAGTAAATTTGTCTCCCTTTTAATTCCATTTTTATTCCTCTCATGTAGTCACAAAAGCCATGAAATGAAAATTATATTTTATAGCTTAACTAAAAGTTTTCCTAGATCTGCTTTCTTTAAATATGCAGAAATTTATAGAATCCGCATAAAGGATAATAATTAAATATGGTTTATACCCTACTTATCAGAAAGAATGTTATCACTGCTTCTCTTGTGGGACCTAAGTCATATGTAATGGTCTCCATTACACAACGTTCATATATTTAAGCTGGAGACATTTTCCTGTCTCTTCAGGGAACAGATCTGCATTTTCAGGCTGTGAATGCAGGAGAAAACCTTCAAAAACAAGTTTCATTTAAGAAAACAAATCCTGGTTTAAATGCAGTATGATTATGATAGATGATCTTTCTCAGTTATGATGAAAATAGTTTCTTTGCATAGAAAGAGGCATAACTTTACTACTTTACTACTAAAATGAGGTGTCTCCCTGGGGCTGGCTAACAGGTATTAACTTGCAAGTTTCCCATATGAAGACCGCTGCAGGTAAACAGCAACAAGGTGTAAGGATAACAGCTACTTGACCAAAGAGGATTATTTATTGGAGGCTCACTGCAAATGGGGAAACAAAAGTTAAGCAAAAGAATCCAACAGACATGCTTCAGAGGGTGACTTCTGTTCAGATCTTAACTCCTAAAGACTCATTGTATAACTGGACACAACCATGGTAACATCTGGTGACCTTGAATAAAGCAAGCCATGGTAGACTAGGTTAGATAAAAGGCCTTTGGATATTGAATTATAACCCTAAGGCTTATTGAATTATAATCTTAAGAGAAAAACAGAACTTACACCCCCTACTAGACCTACCCACATGCACACACACAAAATCACACATGTTATTTTGTCCAGCATGCTACACAGCTAATCTAGGTCACCCTGAACATAATACATCAGTTTCAAGTGGCCCGTATTAAAAGATGACCTTGTATTATGGGTGAAGTCAGTGCAAGACTTTCTACTCCACTCTAAAATGGGGAAAGTGCAAAAGGATACCTACACACACACACACACACACACACACACACACACACACACACACACACACATACACCCTTGCTGCCTTACTACCTTTTTATTGCCTCGGATGCCCAGTCCCCTATCCTGTGAAAGGAAGATGAATTCAGGTCAAGATCAGAGTGCCTGTTTGCTTGCTGAGAGATGCATATCAACTTTAAGTGATTTTTTTTCAATGCCATTTATGTGGCTTGTATTTATTTCCCTTAATCTTTTAAGTGCTGTTTAGTCTCTATGTGATTTGCTTTGGATACTCATTTCTGATAAGATGTGATATCCTCCCAGCCACATAGTCCCTGCCTGGAGCTCTAAGTGACTGATAGGGTTGCAGCCTGAGTGGGAGCTTAGGGGTGGGGGGGAGCAGGTGGTAGAGGGAGTAGGCATTTTGCAGGTGCTTTCTTGCCTTCATTACTTCTGGTCATACTATCACACTCACTTCACACCACATTCTTGTTACCTTTCCCTGTGTCAGCCAGATTTTAGACAATCCCAGACTGGCAGTTGAATAGAGGAGTTTAAAAAGTATAATACACTAAAGCAGATTTGGAGGGTATAGTTGGATTACTAAAATCCCTTTGGAATGATGTATCATAACCTACTAAATATATATAGGGTTTTCAGGGAAGTACCATATAATGCAAGCTCTAATATGGGTCTTCCTGGATAATACCAAGTAGCTGAGATGGCATTTTCTCCTCCATCTAAGACTCATACACCATTAACATATATCAAGCTGCTTTTGATGTCATCACTGCTAATATTTCTCTTCTTAGCTTTAAGGTAACTGCTCTGCATTCTGAGTTTCAGAGGTGCTTCTTCCTAGTCTGTGTTGCAGTCAACTATAAGAATCTGAAGATCCTATTTTTCCTTTTTGACATTACAGCTTTAGCCTGAATTATGGGGGTGGGGAGAGGAGGACTAGAATTTTGCTGCTGATGCCCTTGGGTGACAGGCTGGGTACGCGTCTGCTAATTATCAAGCAGCTCTCTTAAAAAGAAGCATGATGCAAAGCTTATTAGTGGGTGTCTTTGGGCAAAGAGCAGTAGAGTGTGCTGTGTTGTTTGTGAGTGGCGCTTTACATTGCTTAGCGATATGTGTGGTTTAGACATTTGGAAAACAGCTTTTGGTTTCCAATCTCCAGTGCTGCCCTCCATTTCTGTCCCCTCTTCCCCCCTGCCGCCACATCATCAGAGATTTCATTCAATGGCAACCTTCATTCCTGGGCTCTTCTACAACTTTGCCAGCCTCGGTCCTCCCAGTCTTGTGTTAAGAAAGGACTCCATTTGCACAGCCCGCTTGGCAGTTGGAGGGATAAGAACTGAGTTGGGCTGGAGATTCTTGAGCCAGCATGCGCCAATGTTCCCCGTCCTGACTGATGGAAACATTGGCTATTAAGGTCTTGAATCCTAACCTCTTTTCAAGGCTTTTTCTTTGGCATGCAGGATTAGGAACCAGTTAAGTTGGTTCATCTGAAGAAGCAGCAGGCTGGCAGTTATGCTGATATTTCAAATACAATTTTATTTCTGATTTTGGTTACCAGAAAACTCATTCGATTACCGGGGAAAACATAGTAACCAAAATTAACTCTAAGAATAATGATTGGCTATTCCTATATGTATACTTTTTTACATACATATAAATCATGATATTTTTTCTTCTTATGGCAGAGTGTGTACAAACCATTTTAGTCTGTTTAAAGTGCATGTGCAAAGGCTGGGGTGTAAAGAGGTGATGCTTTCACCTTCTCTAAGCTGGCCTTTTTGACTAACACATTTGGTCTTTGTCATTGGGTCCTAAAAGACAGCCATGAATTCATAGTGCGTGACTGAGCCTTGAGTGTGTGTCCTTTGATATTTTTCCTGTATTTCATGGTCTGCCCTCAAACTGTTCATAATCTCATGAGTTGCCTGTATTTCCAGTTGAAGATGAGCAGCCATCAACGCTATCACCAAAAAAAAAGCAACGGAACGGAGGCATGCGGAACTCACCCAACTCTTCGCCAAAGCTGATGAGGTAAGGAGAGGGGTTGGCTGCACACGGGTTCCCTCTTAGCTCCTTCTCTTCCTCCCATCGCCCCCTCCTCACCCTGCCAGGCCCACAGCCTCCCCCTCCCCAGGAAGCACCAGGCAGGGGGAGGGGAGCAAGATCGTTAGATGGCTTCTTAAAGGCTGGAGTATTTATTCTGTCAGCTTGTCAGCAGTTAATGATAGAGCTGAAAAAATTCTGTCATGAAAAACAGTTTGAAAAGCTGTTTGAAAAATACATAGGCTTTAAAGTCTTAGCTGTCACCATGTCCTGTCTGTGTGTAGTTCCTAAACAGCAGTGGCACTAATGACGGCGGTAACCAATCAGAGGAACTCATGTGGTTAGGTTGCCTGCGGCAAGTCTCTTTCTGCTGGAGTCCCTCGGAGGACTGTTTTCTGTACTTAAGGCCATATGTGAGATGTATCATCACAATCAAAAATGAACCTGAAGATTACCTTCCTTTTATCCTGTCGATTGAAATCAAATTTCTGTTAATTGATTTTGACTGATAAAAAAGTCTAATAATCTGCGGACTTGCCAAAGCAAAGTTCAAAAGTAATCCAGTTCTGCTCAGGCTAAAAGCAATATTAATTATGAAATACAGCATCCATGCGCACGCTCGCTTCTTTCTTTCTTTTCTTTTCCCTCCCTTCCCTCTTCCCTTCCACCTTCCTCCCTTTTTTGTTCTTCCTTCTTCCCTCCCTCCTTCTTCCTTCCTGATGACAGTTTCCTTTAGCATATAGCAAGTGACATCCAATTTCAGGAGTACTACAGATTTCTTTTCTTGGTGTAGTCATCTTTCATTCCTTCTTTTTGTCTTCAATTCATCTGCCGACCCCAGCACTTATTTCCTCCAACATCCTGTCTCTCTAACACCCAAATGAAATAGGAGTGATTTCGGATGTGCGCTGTCCTTCCTAAATGCTTACTGTCACGGAAATACCTGCCATCTTGGCTTAACTTTCCTTTTTTCATGGCCATTGGCCACTATCTTCCTTTTGGTTATCAAAATACAATAATGATAATATCTATTTTCCATTTTCAATCACATTTGTATCTCCCTGGCCCTCCATATCCACCTTTCTTGAACATAGGAAAGGGCAGTGCTTCATGTGATCGAGGACACAGGTTCTCAGCAGAAGACTCACCCCACCCTTTCTCCTTTTCCATCAAGAACATTCATTCCTGTTAAATATTTCCTTAAGTGTTCTCTGCCTTCCCCCTCACCCAGCTTTACTTGGGTGTTGCTGATTTACATGCTTGTTTACAGTTTACAAGGAGGAATGAAATGTGCCAACTGCCAAGATTCTCATTTTTATGATGCCAGTTGTCATGCTAGCAGCATTCATTTCCTATTTACTTACCTTTGGGTAAGCGCCTTATCTAATGCTAATAGTTATACCCATTTAAAGTAGAGAAAAGCCCAGGCTCTTTCCTTTGCCTAAATTTAGAGATGCAAATAAATAAATAAAGAGAAGACTGAAAAATCTGAAACCTTTGGAGCCAAATTCCCTGTCCCTGTTTGCTATGTAAAGTATGGCTCATTTCTTTGATCTTGAGTAATAATAATTCTGAGGAGTTATACTGTTTTCATATGCTTCAAAGCTGTGTCAAAGTTTTGCTGCTTAAGGGTACTTCTTTATTCTGTTGGCTCTTGGGTACCAAGATGACAGGTCTTCTGTATGAGGTGGAGGCTTTTTTAAGTCGTAGCCTTCAGCAAAACATCAAATTACCAAATCCAGGGTAACATACTTCTACACAAATGCCTTTCCTGTAGATATATTATACCATATATATTAAATACTTTAGTGTTACACGCTACATTTTATGTGCAATAGAAAGTGATGGTTTGAGGTAGCCTTGGGGGGACTTTTTTTCCACAAGCAGAAAAAGCTAGTGTATACTGTATCAAGTATGGTTTTTACAGGACTTTCTGCCCGAAGGCCTTTGTAAATAAGTAATGATCAACAGATTGGCTGTGGGTTTTTGAAAAGCATGCCTATGTCAGTTTGCATGATGGGGGAGAATTTTCAAAGTGGATCTTGCTTTCATTGCCTGCCGGAGAGGGACTGAGGGAGACAGTCATCCCAGGCTGGAGCTGTCTGCTCCGTGGTACATCAGAATTGCTAAACGTGGGTCAGGTGGTGAGCGGAAACTTGCCAAGCTACAGAACTCAGGCTTTTTGTGTTGGTGCCTTTGGGCTCTGCTAAGGCCACAACTACTGTCACTGGGTTGCTTTTTCCCACCAGTCCACCAAGGTCTCCCTTGCAGTTCAACAGCACTGGGACATCCTATGACAGGTGAAAAAGTCTTACACACTCTTCCTTTACCATGACTTTCTATGTCCCAGGTACTCCCCATGGTCTGTCTGACACAGGGACAAAGATGGACCTCTGCTTAATCCTTTCCCTTTCCCTTCACTTCCCGTGTATAGATGAAGGACCCCAGGACCATTTGGTTTTCATTTGAATATCTGGCACTGGTGAAGGGGTTGTGGGTCTATTTTTGCTAAATCCCTTTTGTTGACTGGCAGAAAACAGAGGGGCTCACCCAGCTCCTGTGGCTTTTTGTGTTGCTCCCACCTCTTCAGACACCCCCTTTCTTCTCTACGGAAGATGAGACTCCCAGGTCCTATTCTTCATGACCTGAAACATCCATAAAGGAAGCTAATGACTTATTTGAAGTGGGTTTTTCGACATGAGTTTGTGACTTGCTGTTTGAGCAGAATCAATCATTCTGAATGTGGGCAGGTTTTAGTGGCCTATGGGCAGTGATAGGAATAGCTCCAAGAGAAACCAGAGGGCTCAGAATGGGCTAGGATGGGCTTTAATTTATCACTGAGACTTCTGCAAATAAAACGGGCTCCTGAGTGAAGGTTTCTTCCAAATCATCTGCCAGCAGGAAATGCAATAGGGACGCTGTACTAATGGTCTTTGTCTCCCCTTTGTTCTGTATCAGGCTTACCCTGGTGTTTAAGTGTCACTTAACTCTCTACACGATCATTAGATGAACAGCCTCATTTTGTGTGTCTGGATCCTGAGGAAGTATGTTTTTTAGTCACCCTGACAGAAAACAATCCTCAAAGCCAGACCGAACCAAATGGTGAGTGTCTGTGCTCCAAGCCAAGGACGTGTATAATGATGGATCACCTTTGGCTCCACACCCACTGAAGAGGAGTGAGCCAGGAGGTTCCCAAGTCCCTGACACTATCTGTCTGTTATTTTCCCTCCCCACTGGTCTCTTAACATGGAATTATTGAAGATACTTCTTTTAGTTTTTCAGTAAAATCACCAAGCACTCAGTGCCCAGTTGTCCCTGGTTAGTGGGTTTGTGCCTTGTAAGGATAGCCATGTCTCTCTTCAGTTGTATAGTCCCTAGGGGCATGGACTTTGTCTCTAAATAGCTAAGTCAAGGGTTTTTGTTTTTATATATATATAATTTGGAGGCCCTACAGACTCCATTAAACATTCAATGAAGGAGCTCTAAGAAGTCTCTCTAGAAAAAAATAAAAGTACACTGGATCCCATTTTGATGACAGTTGAGACAGACTCATGGCTTCCTGAAATCCCCATTCAGGATCCCTAGTTACGATCACATTCAGTTCATTCCAGAGACCCCTTCAAATAGTTGCATCTATAAATGCCTTTTGGATGATGAGACTATTCCTCGGTGGGTAGACAGCGAAGAGTAAATGCCTGGGTCTCATGCTGTATCCTTACATGCAATCCAAAAAGTCCATACACTTCAGCTGCCTGCTTTTATTCCTTTTCTCAGATTAAGTCTCATCTCACAAGTATTGAGTGAGAACCTACTGCATTCAAGATGTTGTGGAAATTCCTTAAGGGATCTATCTAAAGTAAGATGGATTGGACTAGATCCATGCTTCCAAAATGCTTACAGGTTAACATAGGAGACAGACAAGCCCATACAAGCACAAAATAGAGTACAAATGACTAGGAGATTCTATGGGCATGGGCTGTGAGGACAGAATGAGCTGTCTTTGCCTCTGGTTTGGGGGTTGCTGAGCCTAGTTTATGAAGGAAGTCTCATAGAACATTGCCCTGTATGATGAGATTAATTCTCTACTAATAATATTGCCTACTCCTGTGTATTTTTTACCAGGTCCCAGGCATCATTCCAAGAGTATATGCCTGTGACTCAGTGAATCCTAACTACGACTCTATGAGTAGGTATTACTCTTCCTCCCATTTTACAAATGAGGAAGCTTAGGTGCAGAGATGTAACTTCTAGGAAATCTAATTAAGTCTTACCTAACTAGGAAGATAGAGGAACTAGGAAAGTGCTTAGATCACAGTAGATGACTTGGTGTGACTGGAGCCAAGGTTCCTTGGAGGACATAGCTGTAGTTGAGAATGTCAGAATATTCTGGCATCCAAACATGAAGGTTTTGCCTGTCATAGGTATCGGAGAACGCTTACAGATTTTTGAGGAGGTGGTACTCCAACTTGTGTTTTTGGAGAGTCACTGGGGCAGTATAAGGAGAGTTTGGAACCTTCCATTGGGGCTTTTCTGAGGCACATGATATGTAAACACAGAGGTATGAAAGAGAAGACCCTCCCAACCCCAGCCTTTGCCAAGTCCTGTGGGTGCCATGCCATTCAGGGTTTGCTGTAGAATAGTGGAGCAGGACTGGGATGGACAGTTCTCCTAAGAAGGACGCATATATTCCTGACCAGTCCTGAGAGTTGGAGTAAGGTAGAGTAGCATGGGCAATGAGGACTTATGTAGGTTGTGTCAGAAAGACAGTGTACACAAAGAGATAGCCCCCAGCTAGGCTAGCAAGGATAATTAATGACACCCAAAACTGATAACTTGAAAATGTTGAGGAGAGTTTCATGTCGGGAGACCCAGAAAACATTAGACATTAGTTTCCTGAATGGGAGGGGAAACAAGATTTGAGGAAAATAGTTTATTCTCTGGGGAGCTGACTGATCATTAAGTGAAATAAACTCATCTGCTTGTTAAGT